ATTTTCTTCCTTAGTCTTCCTACTTTTCTACTTTTCCATTACTGTCCTTATTTCTTTACATTCAAATATTTATACGCATATTGTGCTATGCCTCGTTGTTTTTAAAACGTAAAATTTCGTCTCGCATGGTCATTATTGCAAAAAGTTGTTGGGAAAGCGCTTTTGAGCAACTTAAATGCTTTTCCCCACATTCACTTTTACGCCCCTTTCTCTCACACAGCTGCGTGATGAAGAAGGTGTCGATAGGGAATCTCTCTAGATTAAAAATTCTGAAAGCTTTTCCTAATTTAACGCAATGAAACTAGCTTTGTAAGTGTGTGTGTAGATAGTTGAGGTTGATTGTAACGGCTTTTAGTATTAGGAAAAAGTAAATTATTACAAATATATTTGTAGCAATGTTCAATGCAAATACTTGAAGTAAGTTTATTTATTCCAACAATTATTATTGAGGCAAGCGCTCACTTCTGTACATGAATAAATACATGTGCACATACAGTTATCTATGTATGTGTACATATATGTATTAAGCACACGTTAACAATTCAATCTCAATTACCGATGAAAATAGGTGCTTACACAGCATTAACTGTTCTTTTATATAACAAATTGCTATTAACAAATAACAATATAAATGCTTATTGTGAATTATCGCCAGCAGTTAACATGCTTCCTTACACACATGCACACAAACAAAAAATAGGCACAGTTAATCCGCAGCAAGTAGTGCACACCTGAAAGAGCATCGCCCGCTGAATTTCCAACGTTGAATTAGACAACAGCAGAAATTGTGGAATACATCCCAATGCACTATGCCACCAGTTCCTTATTGCACCAAACAACACCAAACACAAACATCAAAGACAACAGATGACGGTGTTAGAATTACAATGCTACTTTCTTTGATCTCTCGTTGCGAGATCAATATCAGCAGGGCATAAACAACTGTATTTTCACCAAGTTGCTTCTTGTACGAGCTATGAAGCCAGATAGTCAATCGGGCTCCTTGGCAAGAGGTTAAAGATGCATTTCCGTCAATTGGATCAGATGTTAAAAAATCACATTTAAACGATTTGGCGAACAATAGATGCGACAGCAGTGCCGGCTTGCGGTGGCAAGTAGAAAGACAGCCGGCGATGCACAACCGCCCATATGACTGGATATGTGGCATGTACCATATATGTATGTAGTTGTGGGGATGCCTTCTGACTGTATATGTGGCATGTACCATATACGAACATGTGTGCAGTTGTAGAGATGCCTTCTGCAAAGCCTTGTGCATATTCGCGTGAGGACATGTGATATGCCTACTTTTGCACATTGCCAGTGAACAAATAGACAATAGGGTACATTTTGATGATGGTTTGTAGGGAAGAAGACGAGCAGAGTCAAAATGTGGCATGCGGCATTTGCATCTTAAGTGAAGACACACGTTTCGGTGGGTGATCAACCAGCAGACTTAATAGCGCTGAAGATCCAATAGACTTGAGTAAATTTAGATATATGCGAGCATCCTTAATATCGATTTCAATACTCTACATGTTTTATTCTTTTAATGCAATTTTCAGTTGCACCTTTAGTGAACACAATAAGATCGAGGTTCATAAAACGTGTGGCAGACAAATTGTGGCAGCTTAAAACTAAGTTGAACTCAGAAGGAATCGAATTAGGCGCGTGCGAGCATTAGCAATATTCAATATATTCAAAGAAGCATTTTCAGATTATCATTATGATTTAGAGAAATGCTATAGCTATTGAACGTCCAAATACTGCATCTAAGCGCATTAATTTCGTTATGTGTAGTTCGTTCAAGGCATCTATATGTATAGTATTTTGTTATTTGACTTTCAATGTGATAAAATGTACCTATATACAATTCATCATATAAGTAGCAATATTGTTTTATACACATGTATGTATATATTGCATTGTATATATGTATGTAATTGTCGTTTTCTCCTCAACTAATGTTTATTCCATATATGAACACCATATAAGACTACGTATGCGCATGCTGCACAAATCAAACATAACTATGGGCTTATAATGAGTTGATGCCCTCACAGGCTGTAACTCATTCCTGTACAAATATGTTTGTATATTTTTAGCCACATACGTATTTCTTCGCCTAAACGTATGAGACGGGCTTTGACTTTCCGGCCTGTGTGTGCGCTTTTCGTTTCAAAGTAACTGAAATGTTTACATATACAATCACCATCAGATAAGTGGATGCTTGTGCTTTGTACCGGCAAATGATCGCCATTCCTGGTGAAGTCCTTCTTTTCGCTAACATAACCTGTATCTACCTGTTGATTTGTGTGTTTTTAACGATGATGACCAAGTGAAGTGCATATGAGCTGCTATATGTGTATGTATGTATGTTTGACCGTGTGCATGTTGCTAAAAGCGCTTCAAGAGTCTTGTTGGTACCAAGATAAGATGTATTTAGGGGAAACTTATTATAGCCATTGCTTCCTTTGACAATGTTGCAATTTCCGTGCTACTAAAGTTGTATCCTTTGGTTAGTTTGTTCTATTTTCCTTTTGGAACTTTACATAAAGTAAAAGAAAATGCCTTGGGATTACTTTATAAGTTTTTAGAAGTTACTGCATTTAAAGTGTAGACGCAGTTAAGTAAGTAAGTACATATACTTATGTGTGTTGGTGGAATGGCAAACTCAAAGGATTGAACTAACACAAACAGATTTACATGTTCTAATAACAATCTATCTAAATTATCGTATATTATCAGTACCAGCTGGTACTTTTTTTCCTATATTTTAATATAGAGAAGTCATTTTTAATTTATCTAGTTTAGGGTATAATTGCTGATATTTTCAACAAACATATGTATGAATGAATACTTTAAAATGTCGATGGAAGAATTTACATTACATTACAAATGACAAGGACTTTTCAAGGGCTTATAACCTAAAAGTCATCTATGCACATACCATCACGCTACGCCTTGATGTTTCTATGGTACATAGACTTGTACAATGGTATATAAACTATTTAATATAGTAAAAACATGTGTTACAAAGGTAAAAACGTTATTGCCTGTATAAAAACCCAAGGGATTGAAATTAGGTCTAAATTTGAAGATTCGTACAAATATTTGCCCATGGGAAAAGGGATGAATTTTCAAAATCTATCCGAAAATTTAAACTTTTTGGCTTATTATATGCATATATTGACTTATTAATAGGCATGGCGGAAATTAAGCCAATGGGAAGCTTTAGCCTTCTGAAGGGTAACGCAGATTTTGACGCTGCCATGGGACCATTCCTCAATTAATCTTGCTTCAATAATATTTCTTCCGATCTTTCTGATGACCTAACGTGCTTTCTGGTAAGGTCTCGCAGAAATCACCAGACAGTACTATGGCAACACCACCGAAAAGTTTATCTTTGCTGTTCAAATCTTGCCCATTTTTGTGCAGTGCTTCGAGTTTTCGTGTTCTTCGCTACTAACTTGTTGTTTTGTTATGAATGTCTAATGTGAACTTGTATGTTGTTTCGTTGCTCGCCCACCATTTGACAAAGCAGCCACAACGCCTGGCGATCCAACTGCCAATACGATTTTCTATTGTGACCGTATCTTTTAGTATAGGTATGTACATATGTATATGAAATATTTAGGCTTTAACAACTACTTAAACCAGCGGATAAATTACCTTACATAAAACAAACAAATAATTTGCAATAAAAAATTTTCCGACTTTAAATTGAAATATATGTACATACATATATACATATGTATGTTGAATATCCTATCTTTTAAGTTGGTGTTAAATTTTATTAAAATCGGTTCTGTAGTTAAGGAGTTAACTGCGGAGGAAGCGTGACACGTAATTGTTGTACTCTTGTCACATCTCACTACAGAGAGTAATAGTTTTGTTCACCTAACGGTTGTTTGTATCATCTAAAAATTATCAAGTTAGGTATAAGGTTATGTATATAAAAATGATCAGGATGACGAGTTGAAATCCGCGTGACTGTCTGTCCGAATTTCTGTGCAAGCTGTAACTTGAGTAAAACTTTAGATATCGCAATAAAACTTGGTATACGTGTTTCTTGGCAAACAAGTGAGGATGAGATCACTCTCATCCCAGCGTGAGCGTAATTGGACTATTGCCGCGCCCACAAAATGCCATGACGATAGGGGTGTCACCGCCCACATTTAGATAAAAACCCATATCACGGGTCCTGATGAATTTTTCTATCTGATAATAAGTAAAAATTAGGTAACTGTAAATCGAAGGACCTACCCGTAACAATTCAGAGCTCATACTTGAAGAGCCCTGCTTAAAGCTGTCTATCAACCAATTTTTTAGAGTACGAAGCGGAAAAACATTATAATAATTTTTACCCACCCTAAAACATACATATGCATATATATATACAATATATAGATATGTAAATATCTATTAATTAAAAGTCTTTGTTGTGTGCATTAGTCCATATCAGAGAATGTAAATGAATATTCATTGCATTACGGGCTTTTCTTATTGGTCCGTGTAGTTGAATCCAATTGGAAATGACTCTCCCGTATTAAAAGATTTTTGTTCGCAAGAAACTAGCGAATAAGAAAGTGTAAGAAAATATATAAAGAAGTACAACAATAACAATAACTACATAAACCACCACCATTCTACTCAAGTATATACATATGTTTGTATGGATTGGTTGTGTATGCCAGTCCAAAGTTCTACGCGGCGTCCCAAGATATCTCACACCAGCAACGCGTTGAGCGTCAACGTCGGCTGCGACGGCGCCTCGTCAATACGAACGTAAGCAGCGCTGTCAACTTAGGACGTCAGCAAAATAGCGTGAGCAAAATATCTTACAGGTAACACACACACACACAAAGACCTACCTACAAGATGTTATGCGGCAATGTAGTAAACGTGTCTCAGCTTAAATAGTAGTATAAACAGCTGGGAGAAACTTGTATTCTAGAGCGAAAGCTACGGCGAATTCAATGTGAAGTAAACCCATTCTTATGGACGTCTTTGCAATTACCTTCACTCTCTCTACGACGCTCTTGACTGTCGTGTTGGCTCTTTCTACCTGCCGTTTTTGCAACTATCGGAATTTCATTGTGTGCCATGGAAATCTTTGATTTGTTTCCTGATGCCACACATTCTTTGCAGCAAATGTTATTCCTTAAGGAGACGTTGCTGTTAATGATGCCGCAGACCGACCTCAAAGAAACGCCAAGGCGAAGACAAGTCCTCCACTCAGTCACTATTGGCATGTCTTGTGAATAAGTATAGTTTTACACATAATTCGTTAGGCGCTTAAGCAAGTTGATTTTTCGAATGGGACGTAAAATCACGTTGTTTTTATTGAAGGGGGTTTTGATATTTAAGGGTCGTGATGTGTAAGTGCTCTCTTGTACTAGTGTCAAACCAGTGTGATTTTTTTTATTATTAACAACCGATGTTATTATTGAAATAAACAGAAACAGTTCTGTTTGTGTGTTAAATCAGCATACCAACCTTCAAAGAATATCCATAAGTTTGTGTTCTTTCAGCGCGGAGATGCATCGACTGCATTCGAAATTTCGAAATGCTTTCTTAACTGTTTAACGAATAAAATATTTACGTTGTAAAAAATAATAATTAAACTAAATACTAGTATAATTTTAATAAATTCATACATTTTATACATTATTAATGTGCATACATATCTTAATTGGCCTATCCTGGTCAATGCCATTCAACAATGTTTTAGCTGTGACAACGTTTTTATATAGTAATTGTGATTATATTTATTTAGCTTTTTTATTTTCTTTAATATTTTTTTGATATAATAACAACCTACATACAATACATATTTGTATGAATGAAGGTATATGTGCATGTAACTGGCATACACACAAACATTTGCAAATCTAATACTTTGAAATAACTAAAACAAAAATCAAGAATTAAATAACACAAAAATCAAATTTGTTTATATAAATTTCTTGCTCGCTTCCAGCTTGCTAACCACAGCAAAGTACCCAACAGGCACCAGTTCTGCTAGTACTCAACAGAACAAAGGATGTGAATGTGTGCGCAGGACTACTCACATTAAAAGACCAAAGCGGCAGCTGCATTTTAATTCATTGGAACTACTATAGACTTATGAGCTCAAAAATGCCATACGCACATACAAACACGTGTGTGAATCTATTCGAAAGCATGTGTATAGAAATTCCATTCGAAGTCTGCTAAGTAACAAACTATTGACTATAGGTGACAGGACATATCGCACAGAACCTCTATACCAGCATAACTGGGAGGGAGGATAATATGCTAAAGGGAAATGAAGGATACCGGATTGAAGGTAATAACTTCTATGCAAGGGTGCGCGGAGGTTTTAAAATTGAGAAGCAATCATAGGAATATATGCACGTGACGAGGGGAGAATATAAAGACGAAGGAAAAATGAAAAGCAACGAAAAAAAAAAATTAACAACAAACAGAAGTACCTAGAAAACAGTATTGTTGCAACACACGATTACTTCGAAGATTTAACTGAAAGGGGATGAAAACAAAATCGCAAAATTTTGGCAAATTAAATAGTAATATTCGAAGATGACTTATGCGTACAGTGGAGCAAATACTATGTTTAATGAGTACATATTCGATATGAAGAATGACATAATATTGTGAATAAAAAATCGTGCGAGAAGGAAGATTCACACATAGATTTCAAGGATGCAACTCGCGAAAACACTGCTATTACATATATTACAGTTTCCCAGTGGCATTTAAACATTATCAAAAATACTTTAAAAATTCGTGCTAGGTTAACTAATCGGATGCTAATCGACCAAAATTTAAATTAATTTTAATAAAATACAATATTCCTATCATCAAAGCAAAAGGTTATTTCCTCAAAAAATAGTGTTATTCTGCAAAAAAAGATCGGTTTTCATGCATTTTGATTATGGTCTGTGCAACTTATAAATTATACACATATTCTTTGACAACCAATTTGTTTTCAGATTGTAGGCAAAATCTCGAGGACCGCACAAATAGACCAAGAATATGCATAATTTTAATTATATACATACTTATATTCACATGTGCATAACTATACATGTACATGTGTATAATTTTTATACCCTAAACATGTTTAAAAATTTGCACACGTCGTTTCCTCACTAAGAAGCTGCTTATTTGTCGGAACGGCCGATATCGGATCACTATAGCATTTAACTGCCATACAAACTGAAACGACCGATCGACTCTTGTAAGAAAATAGTTGAAGATTTGTGAAGAGTATTATAGCTTCGGTGCAGCCAAAGTTAATTTTTTTCTTGTTTTGAGATATTTTGTAATTATAAAATTACATTAAACACCCAAGGAATTTTTGTGTGAATAAAAATTAATGTAAATATATGTATGAAACATGTTTGAACTTTAAATATGGCACAAAGAATAAAATATTTAAAAATTGTTCAAACTTTAAATATCGAACAAAATATTTACAAAATGTTTACAGGAATCTGATAAGTCCTTCTAATAAATGCAACACAAGTATCACAAAATAATCATGTGTATGTACAAGTACATATGGACGCTGTGAATGAATATTAATGCTACTAACTGTACCCAAACGCAGGCACAAAGCAGGCTGGCCGAGGAGCTCTTAAGCTTTGAATCTACCAGCTGTGTTTTTCAAATGAGGAAAGAACTTGATCGGCGTTTTCATCAGACGACAACACTAAAGTACATCAAAAAATTACGAATAGAGACCAAATAAAGAAGCTGAATAAATTGAGCAGGAGAGATCACCATGACTCGTGCCATAACAAAATTTCCCTGCATTGCATTGACTAAATGAAAAAATCGTCTCGCCTTTATTTTCAACAGCACACGTATTTATGTACAAATACAATTAAGTATTCGTAATTCTTGTATGCGGCTAGAACACAAAGCTTTACGAATGCGAGTGTGAGTTTAAGGGTGGTTATTGCTTATCATGCCGTATCGTATTATCAAAGAAAGTCATACCATATCCTTATAGGAAGCATATATGTACACACATACATGCGGAAAAGATACACAATTGAGCATGTTTTCCTCGTTTACGATCAGCGTTACTCTCGCCTAGCGCAACGTGCGCTATTGGAGATCATCGAGGGTGAGTTCTAGATTGTTGTTGAGTTCTTATCTTGCAGAAAACAGTATTCATCCCTCAGCAATACGACTTCCTTAAAAAACAAAAAATTCATGTACATATACATACATATATATATATATTTACGAAAAACTAAAAAAAATTATGATAAAGGACATCTGGAAAGCTTCGCTACAACGGCATTACAAGGCAAAAGTGGCAGATGTCTTTCGTTTGCATTGTCGTTGCTTAATACTTTATGAGCATATTAGAGGGAAGTGACTGCGCGTGCGTGGCATGCGCTACAAAGTGGGCTTGCACTACTAGTGGGTTTGAATACTAGTTAGGTAAAAAGGTATAAAATGGCACATGAACAAACTCCTTTCAAATTGTATATACTAATATATGTTTGTTATATATAAAAATGTATTTAAATGGATTATAAATAGTGGACACTGCGTGATCATTCGATGTTTCGATATAACAACTCTTTTTTCCAAAAATTTTAGATTATTTTTCTTCTTTACATTTTTCATTATATAACTTAGAAACCAACAATAATTTCAAATTAACACATCTATTTAATATTTATTCATACTTAGTTAAAAAAATGTGGATATTTATTAGAACCAACTATAGAAACAGCTTCTATGGAGTATAATTCGCATCAGCTTATCTTATTTTATTTTAACGATCTTATTTTAGTTTTCATTGCATTAATGCATTTCAATGTTTGTAAAGAGTGTTTTGGTTTAAAACAGAGGACTTTGGCTTTCTTATCGAAATTCCTCTGAATTCCTTTCAGCAGTTGACCCTTAATACAGAAATACCTATGTAAATACTTGATATTTCCGCAGCTTGTATACAAAATTAATATTATAATACATTTATAATTAATTAACTGAATTATAGATTTGCCATTACAGTTGAATATTATCCAAAATATAATATTTCCCTTCCATGAAATATGCCGCATATGGCAACATTTAAGAGTTGACTTAAAAATATAGCAAATTTAATGGAGTGCATGTATCTTATAATGGCAAAATGAAAGGGGTAGATAAAGAATACATAATCAATACATAATCAACAGAATGTAAAGCCGATATTGTGAGCTTATTGCATAAACAATTCGAAAAAATCAATATTTATACTCTTGCAACATGTTGCTACAGAGTATAATAGTTTTGTTCATCTAACGGTTGTGTGTATCACCTGAAACTAATCGAGATAGATATAGGGTTATATATATGTATAAATGATCAGGATGACGAGACGAGTTGAAATCTGGATGTATGTCTGTCTGTCCGTCCGCTCGTCCGTGCAAGCTGTAACTTGAGTAAAAATTAAGATTTTTTGCTGAAACTTGGTACACATGGTACACCTTTCACGGACCACTGTCACGCCCTCCAAACGCCATTTATCGAAAACTTATAAAACGACATAACTAAGCACTAAATTAAAATATATATATAAGTATATTTATACATATATATGTATGTAATATGGTACAGGGTGTATTGGCATCTATGGTTGAAAAATTATTCAAAAGTGAACGTGGCCCGCTTCCTAATAAGTTAAATGTATATTTCTCAAAAGCCATTCAAGCTCCGCTCGCTATATAACGGCTTTGTTAAAAACTATTAAAAATGTAAGTATCTTTCTGACCTTTTGTAACTAAAATGAGTAAAGTCGGATGAAAACTTGCCCTAGCCCCCATATAACTAATATCAGGATTTTCTAACATCCGGTTCACTCTACTGCTTATATGTTATGTTGGTGATGGTATTTGAGGTCACTCAATGAAACTCAGGGAGCATTTTATTCTGTTAATAGTATAATACGATTAAGTGAATAATTTTTCTCAAAAATTGTGTGGGAATATGAATGGAATTGGTCTAAACTTTGGTCCAAAGCATATATATCTCTAAAATAATGAATTGCGATCCTCTGGTTGACGTTTTCACATTAACTCATTATATTAAATTTAGATTCTTCAGTTGAGTTTATATCCCATATATCTCATGTGAAGATGATTTTAATACAGTTTTAGCCGACTTAAAGTAAAATCTAGTAACAAAACTGAGTGAGTATATGACCTATAATATAACTTAATAACATACAAATTTGATTGTAATCCATTGACGACTTCTTCGAATAGTGAATGTTGAATTGTTTCGCAAGATTTTTTAATTTAAAGCTTTCCTAACGGGTATTTTCTTTGCTTTGATCCTCGCAAGTTGCAGGAGTATAAAATGTTCGATTCCATCTGAACTTAGCCCTTCCTTACTTGTTTTCCGTTGTTGTTATTTAAGCACTTATAGCTATCACAGTTCTAAAAATCACTTTGTAATATGGTAAATTATATATAGTATTGTCATAACAGGATCATGCGATTTCGTTAAGTTGAGGGTGCAAACTTGCGTACAGTCATAGCGAAATGTTTCTGTAGAATGCTATTATCTATTATATTTCATTTTCAACGAATCCAGGACAAAGATAAGATAATATGAGTAAGTAATGTAAACTACCTTTGACGGTTGCTATTATGCCACATATCGCCACCTAAAATGCAGAACAACGCATTCATACGTACAGATATACATATATCAAATTAAAGTTAAGCTTCTACTATCACATATAACCATGTTATAACTGAAATTAAAATTTCGTTTCAATATGAGCAGTTTCTATTTCATATACAAGTACATACGTATACTTTTTTCCTTGTCCTGTCAACTCATGAAAAGTGATGTTACGTTATTTTGCATTTATTTATATATTTAGAGGAGAATTTGGGCTGAATTTATAATATGCGTTGAAAAACTAGCATCAAATGGTTTTTAAAAACCATTTCTTGTTTGCTTTGGAAAATGAAAATCTCATGATTTACATAGCCATCCTCTCCATAAGGGGCGGTAGTAGTAGAAAATATAGTTCCAGGTAAAGCGCGTTTAAAGATAAACTGAAGGCTGTAACTCAAAAAAAAATTTTAAACAAAAGAAAATTCTCCCTTTTTTTTTAAATTTTTCGCATGCTTAACCACATTTATTCGCCACTTAACACCTACAATATTCTGAGATTGATGCAAAAAGCCCTTGTAAGAATTTCCGTAAAATATGCTCTTATGATCTACATAATTATTCTGGTTAAAGGTTTTTTTATGAATAGCCTTAATAGCGCAAACAATTCAAGAAAACTTTCTCATCAAGTTTCCAACTTCAGTACAATCTACTTATCACCGAAGTCCACCCCAAATCTTTGGCCGCCACACAAAAGAATTCTATGGTTCGAAGGTAAACACAAG